CCTCACCGCACAGGCTCCATAGGAAATGAATGGAGAGCGAGCGACGTCGCCTCCCGTGTGTCGAGCCCTTAATGCTAAATATGTAAAATAAATTATAGCTAAGTCAGTGTCTCATATCTTTGTCTCCCTCTGRCTGCAGACTGGTGGACTGACACAAACCTGTTGATGGTAGCTTGTTAGCTGTTAGCAGACTTAAGTTAACTGGTTCACTAATGGTTTTCAAAGTTATTGAAAAAGCTAATCTGCTAAATGAAACATTAGTTCTACTAGCTGTTAACTGAACAATGCCCAACACTATGTTACAAAAAGTAAATAATAAGTGTCTCTGGTCCACAGGGCTCAAGATGGACCCTCCAGGCCACCACAATGGATGGTAACTTTGTAAGTATTCTCTTTCAAACCCCAACATGTGAGCTTGTACCACAAAAAGAAGCATTTGTAGGATAATTCTTCACTCTCTATTTAACAGGGATTGATGGTAATCCAGCCAGATCAAATGCAGGTGAGACTATTGTCCTGATTCTCTATGCTGCTGATAAAAACTGRTGAAACATCACAATGACACAAATTCTTCTCACCAGACTGTCAACCCCATCTTGATCCTGGTTCTGGTCCCAATAATGGACAGTGTGGTCTACCCACTGGTTTCCAAATGCAAATTAAACTTTACGTGAGTCATTGACCTTTTACCTGCATAATTATGTTAACTATTGTGAAATGGAAACAACTGTTACAGAATACTTTCTAATAGTAAACCTGAATGCAGAAGTCCAAAGCAGAAATACGTGGGCCAGATCTGGCAATGATGGYACTGTTTTAAGATGGCAACTGGCCCAGTTTTTACTTTAGTTTTGTGGTGCTGGACCATGCATGGACCACCTTTGGCAAACTGCATCTAGACCACCAAAGGGTCGTCCTTCTTTGTGGTATCTGGGTTCAGTGGGAAAAAAACCCTAATGTTTGGGAACATACACTGCAAAAACTGTCCATCTTACCAAGTTTTAAAATCTTATATCAGCCAAAAAGTCTTGTTCTGAGACTGATTTACTAAASAAGAACTGATTGTGTTAGAATAATAATCTTGTTTTCAGAATGTGTAAGATTATTTGTCTTGTTAGTCTGAAAATTTGACGCAAATTAAGTCAAAAATTTCTGCCAGTGGACTAAGAA